AAAAAAAAAAAAAAAAGAAAAGTTTATTTAATCTTTGTGGTTATAAAAAAAATTACCATACCTGTAAAAATAAGAAAATTAACAGGTGTTAAAATGCCTAAATGATTGCTTCCAATGAAACTTGCACTTTGGCTTTACCGCAGTCTTCCAAGCATTGTACAAGGCACATTTAGTGTAACACTCTCATCACCTGAGTGATAACGGCTAAATTTTAATATTTATGAGGAATTAGTAATTGCTTAAATAAAGGTTAATGAAAGATAACTCACCACCATCCCTCTCTCTAACTCTGTGAGTATGCACACTTTTTGCTTTACTGTGCCCTGTGTTGTCACCATATTTGTTTTCAGGGCTATCAGAGCGCCGCAACATTTTATTTGGTGGTGAAGGATCTGTGGTGTCTCGCATCTTGTCATGACGGTGATCACCACCACCGGGGTGACTCTTGGATGAGTACTTAAGAGCCTGTAACAGATCACAAGAGAATAGGCACTTACATTAAATATGAAGTTACAGACCTGATGTTAAAATATTATTTCTACATTTCAGATCTCTTTCCAAAACACTTTTTAAAGTTAATTAATTTTTATTTCCTATCTTAAAAAATCTGCATTAGTCTTTCTAATTTTAATTACCTCCATTAAAGCAACAAGTTCTGTAATTAGAACTCAAACCATTTTCTCCCACTGTTACGTCCAACATAACATCTTCTGTTAAGAAAAACCTGATTTCTCTATCTTTTCACCGATGGACTACACACTTTCAGCAGTAAATGGGCCACTACTTCTGCACCTTTGTGAGAAGCACAAGCCTCCACTTGGTATTAAGAATCTAAACAGAAACTGCAGCAGAGTAAGCTCTGAATATGTCCTCCATACTGTAGCCAAGGCCACTCAGTTCCACCACTACCCTGAACTTCCACAACATTTTTTCAGCACTAGCAGCCCTGTAGTAAATGTAATAAAAAAAATAGCATTCCGTGGGCCCAAAAGATGTAATGTGACAATTCATTCTGAAGTATTTACCAAAAGTTACATGTTCTGCCTCACTTTGACCTGCTTGATTTTGTTGTGCAAGCTTCTGAGTGGCAAGTGTTTACATCTATGTGAACTGTCACTGACAGCTGCCTTGAACTGTCAGATTACACTTCACAGTGATACAAATGCACAGAAACATAATAAATTCTGTGCCCCAAGGAGAGTAATATCACAATATATGGCATTCCCCAGATTCACACACTGAGAACCAGGTCGGTTTTTTCAGTAAACACAGCAGAGAAATACAGTATCTACCTTACCAAAATTAAGATTATTGTCAGCAACTTAAAGATTTGATGGTTTCTGAACATGCCTAGCAGCTGGCAACTGCAGAAATTAAGCCTCACTGGCAACCCCAGTTATTCAGGGTCTACAACTATGCCCTGCTCAGGTTACAGTCCACAGCAGCAGTTTTGGGGAGAAGAAAGGACTTGGGGAAGGGGGTGGGGTAAGAACAAGATGCCTTTTGTTTTTAAAAGGAAAACACTCACCTCCCCCTGGATCTCCACTCCACTGCGAGTGACCCTGGCTCGCTCTCCCGCCCCTCGTACCGTACCCTCCCCGACTCCTAGGCCCGAGCCCTACACGGGTCGCACTAGGCCTCTCCTCCTCGCCCCGACCCCGCAGGCCTCAGAAGAGCGCCGGAGTCCCCGCTGCTTCCGCGCGCGGCCGCCACCGCTCGCCTCTCCGCTCCCCC